ATGGAGGGTCGAAGTGGTACATTGGGTTTGTATTTTGGGGGGTATTGTTGACAAGAGGAATGGCTGTGTATTGTGGAATGTTATATGGCCCCGGTTATGGACAGTATATATGTGACTGTACGAAATGAAAATGGAAAATAAAACACATTTACACAAGAAAAAGGAAGGAACCACTGTTTCTTTGCTATGGAGAAATGCTTATTTTGAGTAAAAATGTGAATTAAATCACAAACACATTTGTTACTTTTGTTTATTAAAGTAATACATTTAGTTTTACTTTACTAGACTACTTATTTTTATCATATCTTGTTAAATTTAATTATTTCTAAAGAAGTTGTGTGTATTTTAAATATAATAGATCAGTCCCATTGAAAATTCATGTATTTCCAACATTGATGCATTGAATAGACATAAATATTCATAATTTTATTTTTATGCAAATATGCAGGTCATCTACAAGATGGCAGCCCCTGATCTCTAGAATCACTAATGTTTTTCATTATTGTTATAATATGAAATAATTACTGGTAATTATCATGTTGCTTAACCTTAATTATAAGGTTTGTCCTATGGTTACCATTTCTGCATAGAAAACAATTATATGCACATTATTTGCATATAGCACTACATTGTTGCAGTAGTGCTATGCCCTCTTTTGGGGTTTAAATACAGAGATATGTAGAAAAGTACTACTAGTGAGCAATTTTTCGTAGATTGGATTCCATATAATTTAATCATTTTGTGGTATAGGTGTCTGGAATAAACTGAAATTCCACCACAAATTCAAATTTAGTTTTCCTCTTTTAATATAAAAAGTTCTGAGTAGCATAGAAGCATAATTCCATATTTAGTGCTAATCTAACAGATCATGGAATATGGTATCTATGAAGAAATTTAATAACTGTTCCATAAATGTCGGCTTAGCCCTGAAAGGGAGAAAGGAATAAGACATAATAAGATTGCCTTGCCTTAACTCTCTTTTGTGTAAGAGGAATGAGAGAGATTTTCAATTTCTGTTATATCTTTTAATAATAAAATAGAGTTCCAGCAGTTCATGTGGTGCCAATTTCCTCTATCTGAAAAGCCTAACATCTATTAATGAATCAAAGGTGTATAGGAATATGTGTTAACCATAGTTTATTTTCAGCACTGTGTTTGCATGTATCTCCATTATTATCCTTTATTCTGTAAGGAATAAACAAGCTTAATATATTACTTCATGTTTAATCAAACTAGTAATACAATCAGAAATAATAGCCTGACTTTAATTAATACACATTTGTTTATTCTGATAATATTTATCAATTCTAGAATCTTATAAAATTAAGTTAATTATTATTGTCAGTGATCTTGATGCTTGGGAGTGCAGTGTGGTAGTTAAGGTGTTAAACTATAAGTAGTCTTTGACTTACAACAATCCATCTACCATATTTTTCAGACTATAAAACATACCAGAGTATAAGACGCACCATGATTTTGAGGAGGTTTAAAAAAAAAAAAGTTTTTGCACTCTGCAGCCCTCCCAAACTTTCTGCACGCCTTGTTTTTTGCCAAAAAAAGGGGGGGCATACAGAGGCTTTGGGAGGCTTGTAGAGTGCTCCTGGGGGCTGCGGGGAGCAAAAATTGCCTGTTTTTTGCTCTTTTTTGCCCTCCCAAGTCCTCAGGAGCACTTTGCAAGCTTCCCAAACTCTCTGCACATCCATTTTTGCAAAGAGGGCAGCTTTCGGTAATCCAAAAATGCTGTATTCAGTATATAAGGAGCACCCAGATTTTCACCCTCTTTTTTGAGGGAAAAGTGTACCTCTTATACTCCGAAAAATACAGTAGTAATCATTTAAGGTTATAACAGCACTTTAAAAAGTGACTTAGCACTGTTTTCCACACTTACAACCTTTGCAGGATCCCCATGTCACATGATCAAAATTCGCATGTTTAACAATTGGTTCATAATAGTTACAATATTCTGGAGTCATTTGATCAGCTTTTGTGACCTTCTGACAAGCAAAGTCAATGGGAAATTAATTGTAACAACAATGCTACCAACTTAACAACTGCAATAATTCACTTAACTGCTGTGGCAAGAAGAATTGTAAAGGGGGGCAAAACTCACTTACAAATGTTTCACTTAGCAACATAAATTTTGGGCTCAATTGTGGTCATAATCTGAGGACTACTTGTAGTTAATGCCATTCTCAGACATGGAAATTCATTTACCATGAATTCTTGGAGGACAGCATGCTATAAATCTAATGAATAAATACAAGTATTTTGTTGCGTTAAAGTAATTTGACTTGTTCCAATTTTTCTTAATACAGGTTATCAACCTACAAGTGCAAATTATAAAAAGCAGATTGTAGAATTAGGAGGTTTAGCAGAGACTATGGTTTTATCACTAACACTTGTTGAAAACCAACTTTCTGAGAAATTATGGTTCATTAAAACTTTGCAACATCTTTCTATTTCTGGTTAGTATGATTTATATTTTAAAAATATTGTAGCTAATCCTTATCTATTTTAGTTTCTTTTTCAGTAAAATGCTGGCAATTCAAAGGGAGCTAATTATCAACCATTTCTTTTTCAGAAGCAAATTGTAAACTTATGATGAAAGCTGAAGCACCAAGAATATTATGTTCTCATCTGAATGACGTTGATCCCTCTGGGCAATTATTATTCCGTTCCTCAGAAATCCTTTGGAATTTATTAGAAAAAACCTCTAAGGAACAAATTATTGAACAACTCAGTAACTTGGAATGTGTACAGTTAAGCCTATTTAAAATACTTTATATAAACCTAGTTTTTACATGCTAGTTTATACATTAGAAGCTGGCATTTTTATCTTCTATTTCTCATATGCATTAAAAAGAAAAGTAGAACAAGCATTTTTTTTTACTAATGTTCCATTCTATTTGAATTATTTATTGATATAAAATAAATTAAAATCAATAGATTATGGACTAAGTACTTTCTTCCTTCTAAACCTTTTCTATATAACATTTATTGGTTTGGTGTATATTAAACCAAGAACAAAAATATAAAAAACATGACATGGAGATGCTGCAGTGACTGTAATTTAGAGGAACAGGGACTGTAAGTTGGAGAACCTACCATTCGTTTAACGCTGTCTAAAACATGAACAGTCACTGAATAAATGTTTTTAAGTGAGGACTACTAAGTACTGTTTAGTATCTAGGAATGATATTATGTTTCAATTAGAAAAAGCATAGGTATTAAAATATAGAATTGTATTGTTTTACGTAGGGCTCTGAAGGACGCATTTACAAATTTACTTATACACGGTTTCCGCCATTATGATCGTCAGTTAAGAAATGACATTTTGGTGATAGCTACCCTTGTTGCTCAGAACCCAGGAGCTCCAATGATTGTATGTATACTTGATTTTGAATTTTGGCAAATTAAAAATGAAAATTAGTTACATATTCTGTTAATATCATAGTGCCAGCTTTTTTAGTATAGCCACAGCCCTTTCTTCCTTAAAACACATTTATCTTTTTCTAAATAATTATTTCTTGCCTTGGAATTTTATACTATAGAGAAAAACATATAATTATGTTTTCAGTGATAGCAGTTAAATATGGCAGGCATTATATGGTCTTTCTTTATAAAAAAAGGTTTATTAAATGATAATAAATTCTGAAATGAGGTTTCAGAAGTTGTGACATGGAAGATAAGAAATTAACTCATATGAAAATATAATTAACACTGAAAAATTTGTAGAAGAGATGATAATCTTATATCTTGACTTTTTCTCTTATCTTAAAATGAGATTTAAATTTTACACCTAATAACTTTGTAAAATATCACTGGATCAAATATCATGTTTTTCTTTTTTTCTTTTGTGTGCATTTATGTGTGTATGTGCATTTACATTTTACTTTTATCCTGTATTAAAAATATTGTTTCCTGTATCATCAAAGTGCCCATATTTCTGCTATTGTTCATTAGTTTGCATATTAATATAATTGATACTATTGTGAAGTACCTGTTATTCATCTGACAAAGAAGAGGTAAATTTGGTGTAAAACAATGCTAAGAAGGTATGAATAATAAAAGCCTGAACCTGCATCAGTTTTACTTTTCAGTTACTTATGAACTAGAGATTACTACTTCTATATTTCTTTCATTTCTTTGTTATTCAGCTGTAATTTTATATTGTCACATTTTGCCTTGGACAAGCTCTGGCTGCAAGATTATATCTTCTGGCCTAATATAAGTATTTTGATCAGGATCTAACTTTTTAATAGGTGGTCCATTCCTCATTGATTATAAGAAGGCTATATTGTAAGTCTACCTTTCCAACTGAGAGCAATAAAATGCCTGGTTTTGGTTTGTTTTCTAATTAGTTCTGTATATAAAATTAACTTTATTGAGACATTAGCCATTTATAAATAATTTGGGAAATTATATTTCATCTTCAGAATTGGACCTACTCCTTTTCTTATCCCAGAGCTCTGCCTTTTGCCATAGCACTAAAATTAATAATTCTGTTACTTTTTAAGACCTGAACAAAAAATAATCCTAAATTCATCCATTTCAAATGTTTGTGAAGAGCTACATTGATTTACAAATGCCATTTCATATTTTCTAAAAAGTAATTTCTATCCATCCATCCACTGTTTAAAATATTTCCATGTGCTTTAGTCTATTATAAATTTAAAAATAGCACAAATATAAATACAACAGCTTTGTACATGTCTTAACTTTATGTGTATGTGTGTTTAGGAAACTGGATTTACCAAGCAATTAATACTATATGCTACTTTTGATGAAAGTAAGTATTTTAACCATTAATGCTTTATCATGTAAATGTGAACCATGGATTTTTATTGATAAAATGTGTTTAATTTCATTCACAGTGAAAACTCAGAGTCCTTTGGTAAAAGGTCTTAAGCTTACTTCCTGTTATGAAGACTTTGAGCTGAAAAAGCTGCTGCTTAACATGCTTACTGTACTAGCAAAAGATTTGTGTTCTGTTCAGGTAGGTCATAAAATAATTGAAATCAATCATAATTACTCAAGACTTTTAATACTACATGTTTTAAGAGAGTTATATTAATACATCTGTAAATGTACGTTTATGTTGAAATTGACAATACTGCTAAACGTTCAGCTACTAGCACCAAAAAGCTTCATGCCAGTTATGTCAATACATAGGCAAATATTTCCCCTCCCTCAGAAGAATGTTATTCTAAAATAACTTTTGTATATTCAGAGAGAAATTAACAGCCCAATAATTGTATAAATTCATAGAAGTTGTCAAGTACAAAATATAAAATAACAATTTTAAATAGATTGTATCTTGCATACCCACTTCCCAAAGAAAATAATCAGAGGAATATAACAAAAGTACTTATTGTGTGTATTTGGAGGAAGGGGAGAGAATGAGAATGACGTGGTTGTGGTTGCGAATGACTGGTATCAGCAGATATAAATTTTACTCCTTTTCTACATTCGTTGTAACATTTATCAAAAGTGGCAAATTAATAGTATGCAGCGAGGTGGCTTGCTACTTGTTTGCACCGGTTTGGGTGAACCTGTAGTGGACATTGGGACTGGGTTGCTGAACTGGTAGGGATGGCCAGCTGGCCACACTCCCAAACTGGTTCCCGGCACACATGCCATTGCCAGCATGTTTTTTGCTAATTTTATAATGTTCTGCACATGCACATAATTAACGGGCAACTGCGCATACGCAAACAAAGTGTGGCAGGTGTATGAGCGAAGTGAACCTGCAATAACACTGGCAGCATCTCACCCTTGTATACAAGGAGCATCACGTTTCAAATTTTATGCAAAACGTAACTTTAAAAATGCTTTCTGCATGTACTAACATGAGAAAATTAAAAGTATATTGTTATCCGTTTACTATCGAAATGATTTCTTTTCAAATTATATTTTATCTCCTTTCCTTGTTTAGCTATTGCATGAAGGTAACGTTATACTGGCTTTGTTTAATTATTTAAAACCAAACGAAAAGGGAAGAGCACTTGATATGTCTGCAGCACAGTATGAAGAGTTACAGCTTCTTGGCATTGCTACATTAGCAACAATGGCTCCCTTATTGATAGAAGACTATATGCTGTGCAAGGGAAATGAACAGCTGCTGGAGTTTCTGAAATGGTGTGTGAGCAATGGTGAGTCAATAAGGCAAGATAATTTTTAGCCATGGTGAATAGAATGCAGTATTGCAGACTAGCGTACTGCTCACTCTGGATAGTTCGATTCTCACCGACTCAAGGTTAAATCACTCTTCCATCCTTCCGAGGTCAGTAAAATGAGTACCTAGATTGTTGGGGACCATATGCTGATTCTTTAAACTGCTTATAGAGGGCTGTTAACCATTATGAAATGGTATGTAAGTCTAGGTGCTTTTGCTAATGAAATGCTGTGATTTTTGATATAGAGCTAAATTTGCTTTTAGGTTAAGAACTATATGTACCAGTTTTATCCTGCTTGATTTTCTCTCTATACTTGTGAGTAAGACATGTCATATGACTGTTGCAGCATGCCCATGATCACATGATCAGAATTTGGGCACTTGGCAACTAGCATGTATTTATGACAGCTGAAGTGTCCTTGGTCATGTGCTCAGCTTTTGTGTCTTTTGAAAAGCAAGTCAATGGAGAAGCAATATTCACTTAACTATCATGAGCTAACTTAGCAACTGCCATGATTCACTGAATAAGCATGGCAAGAAAGGACATAAAAGGGTGCAAAATCTCATTTAACAGCTGTCCACTTAGCAGTGGAAATTTTGGGTTCAATTATGATTGCAAATAGAGGATTACTGTATAAGAAATTTTAAAATGAAAAACTTTTACTATATTAATTTACTACTGTTAAGTGAAATACACAGCAACATTCTCTGGGAACAAACTCAGCCAAAATATATTTTTTTAAAAATTCTTATATAAGTAGCAAGAAATTTCTGCATGTTCTCTGCCACCATGTAGCTTTGGAGATTGAAGCCCAAATATACAGCCATGAATGTGCAGCCAGAATATTAAAGAGCCATGATTTTATCTTCCTTTTTCCTATGAGGATTATATGTTCAATAAAACTTTAAAATTATATAATTAGATATTTGGGAAATATCTATGTTACAGTAATATAGTAGAGTGCTGACATTTACAATAATGTTTCAAACACGATAATATGAAAAGCTTTATAGTCTATAATTTGAAATAAAATGAATATTTTTTATTTCTTTACAGATCCCTTCTTTACTCAAGGTAATAGTTTCCATGGCGTAGGTGGTCGTGGCACCAAACTTGCACAGATGCGCTTCTGTTTGAGAGTCCTGAATCCAGTTGTATCTCTCGCTGATGATGCTGTAAATGTTGACCTTTGTGGTCAAGGAGCAATTAATCAACTGTTGGGTAACATATATCTGAAATTAATTTTGTTTCATTAACTTTAAAGTTGTCTGAATAAAAATAAAGTTCAGTTTTAGTTTTATTATTCTTTAAAGCAATATAGTTTTTCCTCATTTTTTTCAAACTGACTGCATTTTCTTTGTAAGTACTTTCTAATATACAAGACACTTAATAGCAGGGTAATCTTAAATAGGGCACCTCTGGCATCTTCTAGGGGTTTTGTTTATTTGTTTATTTTATCTGTAAAACCGAATGCAGCCAGTTCACTAGTAGCATGAATTTACCGTAAAACTAGAGAGGTATAATATTAATTCTGCAATGATAGCATATTTTATATATTTTATCTAAAACCGTGAATGCTATTTTTCATATGTGGAGAGCATGATTATGATTTTATATTGCTTCTCTGGCATGTTTCATAATATTCCATTCAAAGGAATATTTACAGTTAAATTATATTACTTTCTCTAGCCTCATACCTTTGAGAATGAGAATTTGTATTCTTCAATATGAAGAATTTTGACTGAAATGTCCCTACCTCTGCAAGGATTCCCCATTCCCGACAATGGAATCCTTTTTTGATTTGTAACTTTAAGCTTCATTATCTTCCTTCATTTCCTTTACTGAAAAATAAGAATCCTCAGACAAATGATATTTATATTTAGGAATCTGTCTTAGAGGGTGGGCAGTTCATAGGCTCTTTGCTCAGGAGCTTCTGGCTTGTAACATGCTATATTCCTGTTTTGTTTAAGATTTAGAATATTGCAAAAGATAAAAATGTATATTGCAAAAAGATGTATGGTTTTTCTGAGAGTCAGAGTATGGAATTAATGGGCCTTGTTCTTGTTATCATTTGTGTGTTCAAAAACATTGAAGAAGGGCATCAGACTGACATCTGTCTCTTAAGTGACATGACTGATTTCTCCAATAAATTGGACAAGAAATGATAATCACCATTTAGTCTTTTGTTTCTCCTAATAAAAATGCTGCATCATAATAAGAACCCCAACTTCAACTAGCTTTCCTTTTTTTTATCTGAGTGTAAGGATGGATTAAATATGTTAAAAGTCAATATGAATAAGTTTGAGATGTATTAAATTTGCAAAATAATATATTATTATGTAATGTATTCTACTAGTATAATAATTTCTAGTGTAGCAGCCATAACCATCTTTATTGCTCTTTTCCACTAGGTATTTTAAAATTCACCACAACTAATTATAAAGATTCTGCCCTTGTGATGGAAATTCAAAGTGATATCTTACTTATTCTGTCAACACTTTGTGAAAATAATATCCATAGAAAGGTTTGTATTTCCTCATGGATTTCAAAAGTTCATTGTGTGAATTTCCAATGAATAAGAAAGTGAAAAGTGACCCTTTGTTCAATGTTTTTTTACTTTATTTATTTATTTATTTATTTATTCATTCATTCATTCATTCATTCATTCATTCATTTTACTCTATAGTGTCACCATATATTAACATATTAAACTAGCATTCCTGAGTTGCTTTGAATGTTATTAGATTTTCAGATAACTTGGCTTTGGGATTGCATTATAACATGAAGTAGTAAAGATCAGGAGCAACCACATATAAATTGCAAAATATAGTACAGCTATTTTTATTTATGTAATTACTGTATATAAATATTCAACAGAAAATTTTAAAAGAATCTTGGAAATCCTTTAGTGTCGTCTTATACCTATGCATAAATACATTTTTATAACATCACTGATAAATGCAATTTAGCCTTTGTTTATAAACAATGTCAGCAAAGAGAATCTACCATTTCCCAAGGCAGAATGTTCTGTTCCTTATTCTTTCTGATGTCCACTTGAATGTTCTGTTAAGTCCGTTGTTTCTTATTCTGTCTTCTGGAATAACTCTGAACAATTTAATTCATCTACGAACAGGTATTCAGATACAGGTAGTCCACAACTTACAACCACAATGAAAGAATTGACTCATTATTGCTTTTCAACTTATTATGATTGCAGTGTCACAATGGTCACATGATCAGATTTCAGCCATTTGATAACTGAAATGTATTTATGACAGTCGCAGTGTCCCCAGGGTCATGTGATCAGCATTTGTGACCTTTTGACAAGCAAAATCAATGAGGAAGCCACATTTACTTAACAATCCTGTTATTAAGTTAATAGTGATTCACTTAACAACTATTGTTAACAAGTAAAATAATAAAATGGGGCAAAATTCAATTAACAATTGTCTTGCTTAGCAACATAAAATTTGGGTTCAATTATTGTTAAGTTGAGGACTACCTTTATTATATTGCAGGTATATCTCCTTTCAGTCTTCCCAGGTTAAATATATGTCAAAGTTCTAATCTTTCTCTCCTGAGTTTTATCTTCCAGGTTTCTTATCATTTTGGTTCCTCTTTTCTGAAAATGCTTCAGCATTGGGTACAGTTTTTAAATCAGAAGCAGATAAAAATATTTTGGATCCAATTATGTAATCTTTCTAAACCTATTGGCAGCTCTTTAAAGGAGTTCTTTCTTTGCCTGGCCTCAGGAAGATACATTCTTAAGTTAAGGGAATGACACATGGCCACATCCTGTTGTCATCTCTGTAAAGTCTCTTAAAGTCCCAAATGAATATTTTCCTGAGCTTGCATAGCTATTGTGCAAGCCCAATAAAGGGCAAAGCTCTTATAAGAAACTACTAATGGGTATGGGAAAGGTGGTTATTATGTTCCAACTGGACACAATATTTTAGACCCAGTTTAACCAAAGTAGAAAAGACAGGAATAATTATTTATAATTCTTACAAAATAATGTAAGTTTGACTATTAAACAGGAGCTCTTTGGATGGGAAGGAGTGGATACACTTATTTCATTTTTGAAGATAGATGCCAAAAATTTCTATAGTGGATTGGGTCATAATCGTCTTCTTTTCTGTGCCCTGGACTGCTTATGGTAAATATAGCAATTTCCAAAAATTTTAATCTTTGATGGAAGGGTGACAGGGTTAGGGTTAGGATTAATTCAATGGATCACAATGAATCAAAAGCATTTTTTTAGTTTAGTCTGTAAGTGTTTAATTTTAAATGGTTGTGCTATTTAATTACTTATTTTTTTTCTTTTAGTGTTGTTAAGTTTAGGAATGATATTTGCTTTGTTTTAAAAGTCTCCCCAATTTTAATTTCCCTGTTTACTCCCATACTGCAAATATTAAATTCACACAATGACTTTGTACAAGTAGGGCCAATATTTTGAAGATTCTTTATTTATTTTATTTATTTTATCAAGCATTTACAAGATAACAGATTTAAGTATAAACATAATTATGAATACAGGAAATGGAAATGAATATGTGGGGACAGTAGGACAGGGACAGAAGGCACGTTGGTGCGCTTATGCAAGCCTCTTAATGAATTATTCTTAATTAATATTCTTAATAATTATTTCATAATATAATATATTCTTAATGAATATAATTTAATCTTAATGAAGATTATTCTTAATGAATAATCCTTCAACATACAGCTTATAACAATCATACTAATAATTTGACTTTTTGGAAGTTTGGCCATAAATCAAGTGGAGCATGTACATTGCATCCAGGAAGTCTCAAATGCCGGGCAAAAATTTCATGTATTAAACTGGAGTGCTTTTAAGAGTTCTGTGAGAATATAGATGAAAGTATAGACAGAGCCAAGATCTTAGGAGAAACTCATTAAAGGGCATATGTTGATATTAGACATTTCACATTTATATTCATACATGTACAGAGCATACATTCACATGCATAAGCTTAAACCAATACAGAAAGCTTCGGAGAGCATTGCAGAAAAATAAGGTAGTAAAAGAATTGGGTAGTGAAAACACAGGGGAGCACCTAAGGATGACATGAGAGATAGTCAAGGGGAAAGTTGGAATAAGCATTTAGGAAAAACTTGAAATGATGGAACTCATTGAGAAGGGATGAGGAAGGAAATGCAGAAGAGAGCAAAGGGGAAGCTGGGAGCTTTGCAGGCTAGTAGACTCCACCAGGAAGCAAAGAGACAGATCAGAAAATACAAGTAGTTTTTCCTTAATGACTCTAATTGGGACTGGAATTTCCATTTTTAAGCAATGCAGTCATTAGGCTAGGACCTGCTTCTGCCCTGCTGTGTTTACCTGAATTTCAACAACTCCCATTCCTTTATTTCTGCCCTTTTACTACTGTATATATCTGGGACTGTTTGGGTGGATTGTAGGGGTGATACAGAAATATAATTTTATCATATTTTATTTATCTATATATAAAATTATTGTATTTTACTCCAATTCCATTTTAAATTGTATTTGATCTAATTCCATTTTAAACTGTATTTGATCCAATTCCATTTTAAATTGTTTTTATCAGATTTTAGTAACAATGTGTCTGCACATTTATATGGTCCAAGGGCTAATCTATAAAGTAAACTAATTAACTGCTCTGCATATGAAAATATGTGGGGGATGGGAGTGTAGCATTCAGAGCAAAATGTCTACTGATCCGCATACTTTTTGCATTCTTGCCTTAAATTCTAGATTGTTATTATAGTGATACTCGTGTCAATAGGACTGAATTAGGTAAATCAGTGGTGCTACGTAACAAATGCAGGTTTTTAAAAATAATTTAATTTTTTGTGATTAAATATTTGTCAAATCAGGCGGTAGTCGTTTAATGTCAGCCACAACAATTTCTAATAATACATTATTACATAACAATGTGAAAATATTTTTTGTATATTTTGGACTTTGTATATGATCAATTATATTAGAAATTCTCCATTTGCAGCTTGATAATGAAAATCATTCATTGACAGTATAAAGTTTAAATTGAAAGTATATCCTACACATTGAAAATATTTTTATTTAAGGTGCTGTGTCATGGGTTGCACTATTTTAGAAGACTATTTTCTTGAAAAAGAAGGCCTCTTCACTCTATTAGATTTGCTTTTAGTAAGTACTATTATTTATACAAAACTGGACAAAAATATTAAGTACATTATTACTGAATCTTCTTAAAGTATTATAAAGCATCATTAAAATATTTTAATAACATTATTTTTCTTAATATTAAATTAACACTTTTTAACATGCATATATATATGACAACTACATTAATATAGTACAAAAGAATATTTTTAAAAAATAGTTGATTATATAAAAAATACATAAGGGACTATATCAAACTATGTAAGAAAAAGGAAAATAAAGCAAAATGAACATAAAATCCTTTGCAAAAGAGCAAACTAAACTAAACAATCAGAAAATGCATGCATGTAATACCTAATTCTAAATATAAAAGGAAAAAACTCAAAGAAAAAAATAGATTGTTATACTGTTCAGACAGATCACTGCATCACAAATCTAGGACTGAGGAATGACAAATTTCAGTACGTTAGCTTTATAGTTAGATAACAAGGTTCCTTCCATAAGTGCATAATCGTGTTTTACAACTATTCCTGCTCAAGATGATCAAGCAATGATATATAAAGATAATTAAGTAATGAATCTACAAAAACCTAGAGGCAAACAAAATCGTAACCAAAAGCCAACAGGTTTGTCAAAAAGAGATCATGCCAGACAAATCATACTGCATTCTTTGACAAAGTGATAAAATTAGCAGACCAGAGAAATGCTATGAATATAATTTACTTGGCTTTCAGTAAGGCATTTGATAAAGTAGGCCACAACCTACTACTTGATAAGATAGAAAACAGTGGGCTAGACAATCACCACACATGGATTCATAACTAACTGCACTCATCGTGTAATCTTCAAGGGAATTGCATCTACATGGAAGGAAGTATGCAGTGGTAGTCCAAGGTTCTATCTTAGGCCCAGTATTCTTCAATATCTTCATAAATGACGTAGATGAGGCGATAAATGGGAAACTCATCAAATTTGCAGATGACACTAAGCTGGCAGGAATAGCCAATATTCCAGAAGATAGACTTAAGAAACAGAAGGATCTTGACAGACTTGAACATTGGGTGTTATCTAACAAAATGAAAATCCATGATGAAAAAAGTAAGGTTCTACATTTAGGCAAGAAAAGCAAAATGAACAGGTACAGTAAATGTGGTGCCTTGCTCAATAGTAGTAACTGTGAGAGGGATCTTGGAGTCCTAGCGGACAATCACTTAAATATAAGCCAACAGTGTGCTGAAGCTGTCAAATAAAGCCAACACAGTCCTAAGCAGTAACAGAGGGATAGAATCCAGATCATGTGAAGTGTTAATACCACTCTATAATGCCTTGGTAAGACCACACGTGGAATACTACATCCAGTTTTGGTCGCTTTTAAGAAGACCATTTGTCTGAAATGATATAGGGTTTCCTGCCTGAGCAAGGGGTTGGATTAGAAGATCTCCAAGGTACGTTTCAACACTGTTATTCTGTTAAATTTTTTATATATTAAAATATGCTAGAGTTTGTAGATTTAGTTTAACAAAATATTAAAATTTTTAACCATTAGCTTTTTTTCTAAAAACACAATTAATCATAGTTATCTAAATAATAAGGCATTACAAGAAATACTGTATAGAAGCAACGTAAAATAAATAATTAAGTCAGCACACTCATAGTGCTTACCAAAGTTAAAACTAACTCCATCTCTAGCATATTAAGCTAACCTTCAGAGAGACCTAACCTTTTAAAAATTTCTTAGGTTTCCTTTGCTGAACTTATTTGAATTTTTAGTCATAAGAAATATATTTAACATTGCTTTAAAGCCTAAAGTCATTTATTGGGAAATATAGGATACTCTTGTATATTGTTTAAATTGAAGATTGTTTTTGTTTTAAATCAGTAACAAATTGTCAATTGTCTTAGTAAAGGCCTTCTTAAATATTGTCAATGCCTCTCACGTTTCAGAGAATACAAGATAATTGAGTTCAAACAATGTATTTTATATTGTTTGAAACCAAAATTTTACAAAATTTTAACTTTATTCTCAGTTAAGAAAATGTTTTTATTAAGAGACTGTGAGCATTTTATATTAATCAGTGAAACCAATGATAATTTTTACAGTTAAAGTACCATCCTTCAATTGTATGTCACACTCCTACTTCAGGACAGTAAAAAGGGATGAAAATTATAGTCATATATATTCCTATTCTGTGCCAAAGTAATGTTGTATTATAGAAACTATACATTTAAAAGTGCCAGTGTGGTATAATGGTTGAAGTTTTGGATGATTAGGGATATCTAAGTTCCAGTCCATCCTCAACCACTGAAGTTGCCTGAATAACTTTGGACTGGATTTTTGCTGTCTTGAACTCCTGTGTAAAAAGTGGGATATAAATCAATCAGTTATATTTCCTTTAAGAAAAAATGTCTTGGAACCATGAAAGCATGTTGAACTTATTACGATAATACTTTGCAGATACAATTGTACATTGTATGCTTTATTGAAAACCATATATTAGGTTTCAAAAAGCTTAGCATTGTTTTTTTTAAAAAATGTTCCCTAAAATGAAGTGAAAAATAGAAGTAAAAGTTTTGCTAGGATTTAAAATATGTATCATCTATTGTTGTCAGAGAAAAGATGATTTCATACAAGATTGAAGGGGAAAACATAAATGCACCTGAACTGATTTTTCATGGGATTACTTTCATAGTTTTGAACATATTTGTAAAACAATGAAAGTTAGAAATGTTTAACTTATCTAAAATTGACACAAATCTTCTTTGGAGTTAATTTTTTTCAGATATTATATATAATGCCATGCCCTTAAAATTAAAAAAAATGTTAAAGGCTTTGCATATTTCGATAGTTATTTTTCTTTACATGATAATAAATTAAAGTTGTCAAACATATTTGTTTCATATATTCCCAAAATAAACAGTTATACATTTCAACATGAATTTAAAATTCTGCGGTCTCTAATGTTCATAATTTCAAGTTACAAATAACTTCTCATACACTTATGTTAAAATCTGTCTATATATTTGAATTCCTCTAGTTAATATAGGAATTGGATGAAGGATAATTATTTTTTTAAATATCTTAGGTCTTTGGTTATTTCATTCTTAACTTCTCTTCTTCTCTGTTTTATTTTTGTGAAGATAAATCAAAAGAATGTATGTAACCTAATTCTTGGAATATTAGTTGAATTTTGTGATAATCCTAAAACTGTATCCCATATCAATATATGGAGAGGGGGAAAAAACCAAACAGCAGCTAATTTATTGATAAACCTATGGAGACAAGAAGAAGAAGAGATGGGAGTGAAACATGATAAATCTGGAAGAATTGTTGGTAAAGTACTCCATGCTATTTTATCTCATGAACAACCATAGTCTGAAGATAATCCTAATTTTCAGGTTTTTTAAATCCTACATAGATACTATGTCACTTTAGTCACACATAGATGTGACTAAAATTGTTTTTTAATGCTTTGAGAAGTTACATGAAATATGGGTAAATTGGTCATTTAAAAAGTTGGATAGGAAAAGGCTTGATTTGAATATATACGTAGTTGCGGTTAACCACTGGCAAAAATCACTTATCGCATCAACTTATAATAGCAGTTCCAATAGCAGTTGTTTAGCAAATTACACACCATCATTAAGAGCAATATCACATGACTAATTTCCTGCTGGGTTCCCCATTGCATTTGTGGGAAGCTGGCAGTAAAGATTGTAAATAGTGATCACATGACTGTGGATACTGCAGCTGCAATATTGTCCACCAGGTTACAAAGTCCCCAAATTATAATTGTGATTGCAGGAACATGTAACAGCCGCAATTTTGAAGACCAGTCATAAGGTCTACTCATTCAATTCAGTCATAACTTCAAACAGTTTGCTTCAGTGAGCAATAGCTAAACAAGGACTATTTATACCAGAATCATTAATTCATTTATATTTATTTGGGCACATACTGTATCTCATTAAAAAGTCACTGGGTGGCATATAATAAAAACATTAAACGGTAATATACAAAAGCAATCACCAAATCCATAAAATTTAAAAATTCTGATTAAAAGGCAAAGAGGGGGCAGCAGGCATGAACAGAATGGAGGTACCTCAACAACTCACTTATGTTTTCCTCTATAAACTTTTATAGACCTATTGACTATTATTAAAAAGTCATAGTTCATCTCTGAGGAAGATGGACAACTACAAAATATAAAATAAATATCCATGCATATATATTTTATCTATCTATGACTGAACTTAAGAATCATGCTTGGTTTTAACTATAATTAGTTAAATCAGAAACAAGCTGTACTTTCTGAAAATGTACCAATATATTATTTAAAAAGTAAGAACATCATCTGTTTCCTAGAAAATAATGATTTATACCAATGAAGACAATATAGCTATCAGAATGTGATACAATAAATATGATTTCCTAACAAATGTTCTATTCTTTTTCTGCAATCAAATTATATAAGTTGAATTTATATTCAGTAATTGAAATCATATAGTCTTCAAGATACCTCACTAATTAAAATATAAACAACATTGCTATCAATGTTTTTTTTAAAAACTAGAAAGTTATTGAATAATATAGAATCTGCTAGTAGATGCAGATTTAAATAACTTCACAATGAAATATACATAAATAGTAGATCACTGCTGTAGTAATGGCTGAAAAAGTTTGATTGCAAGTATTTATATTTTTTGGGCTATATGCTATTAAGAAATGTGAACAGTTGTGAGAATTTTACTGCTTTTGCAGATCCTTCCATACCGATATATCTCAAAAGAGTATTTATAAGTAAAGCAATTCCAATTTTCATCTTATATCTGCATTAAGGAATTATTATTTCTAAAACCTTTATTTTTTTAAAAAAATAGCAGGCAATTAACATTTCACTATTATAGTTGCTTTTTAATGAGTTTTCTTTTAATGCCATAGATACAAAGAAACCACTAGTTGGCCAGTTCCAAAAAACACAAGAAGTAATTCCAATGCCTGCTAACCATCCCACTATTGCTGTCATGGATGTTGCTGAAAATATGAGAGCAAAGATTTATTGTCTAATATGTAAATTAGGTAAGGCTCATGATCTTTCCCCCCAAAATTGCTTCTCAATGTATTATTGATAGTGAACTAAAATAACAGAATATTTTTTTTACACAAGAAAACTTTAATAAAAACCAACCAAGAATTGAAGGAATATAGTTGAGTTGCTATTACAAAACATTAGTAATAAAATTGTCAGATGCCTACTGAAGATGCTTACTGTATATTCTGTATATTTATTATGTAAAAAACATTCTGCAAGTACTGATAATTCTCAGTTAGCAATAGTAATTGGAACTGGAGTATCCATTGCTAAATGATGTATGTTGTGTCAGGTACACATATACAAGCATGGTGACATGGGACTGCATTACTCAGTGACAGCAATCCCTATTCCAATGTTATCTGAATCCCACCAGTCATTGCACAAAGTTCCATCCTAACCTATGCCATTCCCAGCTTGGTCCATCTCAATCATGAATCTCAGTAAGGTAACGGATTGCCATCTCTTCAGTTTCTTCACCCACCTATATGTCTTATTTTTTGCTTACCCTATAGAGTGGCATGCAACCCTGACAGTGCTGATAGGGCTGAGGCTGAAGTAGATGCCCAGGGCTTCAGCAATCTCAGCTGCACGCTGTTGTCTGCATGCTGTTGTCTACTTCAGTTGCAGCAATATACTACCACTGCTAGCTGCTTGAGCAGAAACCTATGTCTGGAAATTTGGAAGGCCTCAGACGTATTGCAGAAAGATGACACTCAATTTGGATAAGAATACACAAGATTTGGAGAGGAAAATGCACAGCCTTGCAAAAGAGGCCTGGCATGGCCAGCAGCTACTCATACAGGGCAAGGCTGGGCGTAAGTAGTTAGTAAGGGGAAAAAGAAAATGGAAAAGGTAGGATAGGAATAGCATGACCTGCAGAGCATACAGGATTGGAGGCAGCTGTTATGTTTTGCTATAGTATTGGACTGAGTGCCTGGGGTGGCACTTTTTGGTAGTATCACTCCTTTCATTTTGGCTTGCGCTGGCAGTACTGAAGCTGACGTAGCAAGATGCTACAGAAAGCTGAATGCTCTGGGCCTCTATGTTAGCCCTGGTGCCACTGTCACTGCCAAGAAGTCTACTTGCAGTGTAGTCAAAAGGGCAGAGATATAGAGATAAGGAGTGGGGAGAGTTAAAACGCCTGTATTGTAAGAATAAGTGGAGTGCTCAGCACCCAAGTTCTGAGCACATGACTGTACAGCCTTAATTTTAGGGGTGAGACATTAAGTATCAGTCATCCAGTACTGCTTGGTGGGAAAAACTTCATTTTGCTATTGTGTGCATTCTACATAGGGATTAGACAATGTTAATCTTTTAAAAATAATGTTGCTTTTAAAATAACAATTGATATATTACTTCAGGTTTTGAGAACTTGCCTGGGCTCTCTGCGCGGGATTTTGTTACACTTGCTATTATACGCAGGTACCTAGACTTCAAGGTAAGTACCATAACTAGTCATTTATTGTTTCATTGGTGCCGTTAGTAGATGTGGAGAACTAGGTTTATTTCCTAATTTTAATATTTCCAAATATTTTAACTTTAAAAAATTCTTAGTATTTGCTTCCTATATATATATATATATATATATATATATATATATATGCAGAAGTTTTCTTAGTGAATTAACACCTACCTATATTGTTTGAAAGTAGGATCATAACATCATTGGTAAAAACTAGAAGATATTTTAATCAGGTTGTTGTTTTTTTTACAAAGATTTCTAATTCTTGATATTAAGCAACCGAGTCATATTATAGTTTTTCAGGTGACCTGTAACAAAAAAAATTTAAAAGCAAATGTAGGTTAAGAGTAAATAGTTGATGCAAAGTAAAAATCTAATGATCTAATTAACCTGCAGAGATTTGATCAGTTAAAGGAACTGCCTACTTCATTGCATCTACCAGTGCAGAGCAAAGAAACAACATTGTTTTATTCAACTTTCATACCATAGTCTTAACAGCTCCTTGAGTTGCAGTGGCACACAGGTTGTTAAAGAATTGCTGAGTTTTGCTTTCCAAAATTTCTGGGAAATTATTTTTTGACAAATTTGTCCAATGCTACTTGGATAGTGAATAGTTTATTGAGGTAGGGAGAGAAATTAATATGATATTGTAGTCCTTTAAAATATCTTATTTGTTTATAATATATAAAGGTTGGTGAGATCTGGGATGAAGTATGTGCAGAACTTAAAAAAGAAAAATTTAGACCAGTGACACCTGACCAGGAAGCATTACAGCTTATTACTGAAGCCCTTGAAAATGTTGGAAAGGTTGTAGTCTCTATCCAAACTGAGATGCTAGAAAGCCAGCAGTTTCAAGAACTTCAGGAGGAGGAAAAATGTTATGGGAGGGTAAGTTTGTGCCACAATAATTTATTTAGAAATAACTACTATGGCTAATTAGAATGTTACCTCTTTAATGCTGTGACACTTTTGTGGAACATATGTATAATATACTATATGAACTTTAGGATAGAGAGCATTTGCAGATATATAATGACTTGAACTTTACCCTTTGCTAAACTATAAGCTAAGATTTTCTTTAAATATTTTTTCCATTAGAAAGACTTCTAAAGTAATAATGTTTTCTTCTCTTGATTTTCATTCTAGATTCATTCTCTCCATAAACAAAGGGAAATAGTCAATAAATCTTGGGAAAATTTCTTAGCTCGGACATCAAACTACCAGGCTTTGAAGGTAAGAAATATTCAGTAAACTTCACCACAGATGACTATATTTCAAATTCATATTTCTCTAAATAACTAAATTAATAGTTTACTAGGGAAGCCATTACACTATTAATTGGTATTTATACTTTAAAAATAGATTGAACATTAAGAATATGGAAAAGCATGTTAAGAATGGGCAGTGAATAAATAAGCATATTGAGAATAAGCAATGAATAAATAATTTCTAAAATATGGGCATAAATTTTTTTTTTAGTTTTATTATAGTTGTTGACAAGGTGTGGTTATTTTATATAGCATGCTTTATATGTAGCATAAGGTGACCAGATTTTCAGATTGGTAAAGAGGGACACCTTTGACCGGGGGGAGGGGGGGAGGCCAAAAAGGACAAAAAAAGTCCAAAAAGGAAAAAGAAAAAAGAAAAAAGAAAAAACCATCATCACATGCAGCATGTCGTTTGGTTACGGTTGTTTTAACATCTACATCTTCAAATAATATTTACCATCTCAGATATTTCCTCTATGAAAGGCCAATTTACTTTTTAAAGCCTCCCAC